GTTACTGGGTTGGAAAAAGCTTGTCTATAAGAAACGTTCATGTAATTTCATTATTAACTTGATGACCAGTCAGACGGACACAATGAACAAATGGTCCCTCATTTCATCTGTATTTCAATCTGTCCAAACGGAAAAGCCACAATCACTTCACATGATTTCTTTAAGGATGCAACAGAGGAAGCTTCCATGTGAATGACACTGCTCAGCTGTTTTAAAAATCTAGCCCAATATCCTTGGAAACAGCTAAAAACAGACAAAGCCAGCATGTTGCATTATTGAAACTACATAAGCTTCTTGCTTTAAAAACAATGGGCCCTCACTGAGTGCTATACAAATTCCAGTGCGTACACAGAGCCTGTGTGCTGTGATATAATTTGCCTTAACCAAGGTGGCTGGTTTAACACATGTAGCATATGCACACATAGGCCTGAATCCTATTGGTTAGTCTCAGCTAAAGTAGACCCTTCAAATCCATTGTTGAATGGTGACTCAACAAATCTGTGAGCCACCTTGGGTCCCTTCTGGGAAAAAGGTGGAATACAAATGAAATAACTAAATAAACAAACAAGTAGGCGCTTTGTGTAAGTGGGTCTGCTCTAGTTAAGAGTAAAAATAAGATTCAAGAAATGTTGTCACCTCTGTTAAGGAAATGAGGAAGCCCTTATAAGTAATGGAGCTCCATATAACAAAGGCAGCTGCACCTACAGGGAATCATAGGACCAGGAGTGATAAATTAAACTCCACACAGATTTCTTTTATTAGACTTCCTGCAGTGCAAAAAAGGAACTTTTATAACCTGTGTAATTTTTCAGCAACTGCTAGCTATGCATTATTGGTATAGTCTGTTGTTGCAGCTGCAGTCCTCTCAAAGAAAGAAACATAGATTCTGCTAGGAGAAAGATTCTGTCTAACCTGAGAATGAGTGGACAACAGGCAAGAATACAGTGCTGAACATGCAATGCAATCTTGCATGAATCAACAAAGATGTAAGCCTCACAGAGTTCAATGGGTGTTATGCTCTGCTAAGAACATGCTCTACTTCCTCAACTCTATTTTGAGAGAGGGAGGGAGGAAGAGAAAAAGAGAAAGAAAGAGAGAATGAGAGAGAGAGAGAGAAATCTGCTATATAAAAGAGATATACTCAAACCACAGAATGACTGCCTTGCACAGTATGATCATACTATGGGATACCTGTTTCAGTTTGGAATTGTTGGTTGTCGTGCCAGAGAGTAGAGAGCCAACTAAGACCACATAGAAAAAATACTCTAATCTGTAAAGAGGACTGTTTTCTTCAAAGAGGTCCCCTACTCCAGCAAGCAATTATTCCATGATGGATGACCCCAGGGCACAATCTAGTGCTCCACAGATGCTCATGATCTATTTTCATTTGTCAAATCTAAACAAGCATTTGTTCATAGCACTTTATCTTGGCATAGGATAAAGGACGGTGTCACTCATACTTGGTACAGCTGCCAAGTCACGATGGAGAGTAAACACTGGACTTATTGTAGCATAATAGGTGAAGGGATAGACACAGGTCCTAAACGGCAGTGTTAATCACCTCTGGAATAGTTCTCTCAAATGGCAAAGGCAGCACCTGCCAGACTGTTTCCTCTGAACAAACAGAATCTCACTCCATATCAAGACTCTTAAAGGAACATAATGGGGCCACATAGGTTCCAAACCAAGTATTCAAATGCAGCAGGCATTTTGTATTCCAGTAGGCCAGAGATGAGGAGAGGGCAGTCCAAGGACTACAGGCAGCTCCTGGGAACCCACTTGGTGGGCCCCAATTTTTACAGCCTGGGAACTTTCAAACCTCTGCCCCTCAGAACTCCAACTTAAAAAAAAAATTGGTCCCCTTACCCAGCTTGGTTCCCCTCCCCGCTGCACCCTCCAAAATCTTGAAATTTTGGCCAAAAGCCATAACTGGAAGTGACATATCCACTGTGCTAGGAATGAAAGTATAGCCCATGGGGTGTTGTGGAGGGAGAAATTCTCCCTTTGTAGTTGCTCACCCCTGCAATAGACCATCCCATACCACTGACCTACTGTCCTAGAAACCCACCTCTTTCTTTTCCTGAGAGTGTCTTCTTCTTCAGCTCCTATCTAGCAGGTGAGTATAACATGGTCCTGTCTGTCTGTCTGTCTGTCTGTCTGTCTATATCTATCTATCTATCTATCTATCTATCTATCTATCTATCTATCTATCTATCTATCTATCTATCTATCTATCTATCATGCCTATGAAACACCTCTTGCTCCACCCAGTAGTTCAAGGCAGGAATGGGGGAGGCTTTTGTTCCAGCTTCTTTTTGATAAGAATTTACTAAAATCTATGAATTTAAACTTTGAGGGTTTGTTGTTGTTTTTTAAATGAACACTGGAGAAACCAAAACTGACAGATACATCAATCCTGGCTCAGGGTTTTGAGTGCTTAGCTCTTAAACGTCTATGTTTGAATCCCTTTATATTCCATCAAATTACTGTTGAATTAGGGTTTATGCCATTATTACTTTTTGTTAAAGGGCCTGCCCATCTTTAACACCTATCCACCATATATCTTTCATGCTGAGAAACACTGTATCTACTGAATTCATGGTGGGGAATTTTGTTTTCATTTTTAAAAAGATCCAATAAGAAAGAAAGTGAAATCAACAGATTTCCCCACCCATAAGGACTAGAAGGATATTTTGCCAGACATTCTGCCCTCTTCAATAATAACAGGGCTTTCCTCATTCACCTGGGAAGGCCTTCACATCTACTCAAATAAGTGCAGGGCATTACTCACACATTTCAAACAGCAATATCCATCTTGTGTAAGTTTGAATGCTGTGGAAAATGTTTCCCACACAATCCAGATGCAGTATGGATAACAGAAACTGAGCCAGCATGGCGTAATGGTTTGAGTGTTGTACTAAGACCAGGATTTGGCTCCCCACTCAACTCTGGAAACTCAGTGGGTGTCCTTGGGCAAGTCATACTCTTTCAGCCTAAGAGGAAGATAATACCAAGCCTCCTATGAATACATCTTGCTGAGAAACACCTGTGATAAGGTTGCCATAAGTCAAAATTAACTTGAAGGCACAGAACAACAACAAAAGCTACCAGGGGCCAGCTGAATAGCTTTGCAAGCCCTACACAATTTATAGCTGAAACAGAAAGGATGAGAAAGAAAGAATGTTTCCTGCAGTCTCTGTGGTGCTGTTCTTCTCCTGTTAACCAACATGTCTGGCTAATAACTGCCTACATACTGAACCCTGCAAACCCCACTGTTGTCTCCAGCAGGAAAGTTATACTGTGCAGTTTTTGTGTGTATGGACATCCATTCAACTGCTGCTGATGCATTTTTAGTGATGAACACCCTTCTCCCTTCTTTTTATAAGCTGCTGCGCAACTGACAAAGGGAAAGATGGCGAAAGGCAAAAATGTTAAAGTGCCAAGCTTGTATTTGCCAATAAAATGTAGTCCCTTTACATAAAATGCAAGCATTTCAAGTGAAAACAGACCTAAAGCTCTGGGCAATCAATTACAGTACTGCTGACGGTGAAAGCAATTAAGACTGGTGCGGTGAGTCAGCATACTATACACAGGGATGAAGTGTTTACTCTTGGACTTACTCTTTAAACATTACATTCCTCATTTTTATTTTTATTTTTATTTTTGTTAATGGAGTAGGCATCACCCAAACTGCCACCCAAGACACCCTGTGGTGAACAGAATGTCCAGCTGGCCCATCAGGAGGCAGCTGAGAGCCAGCCAATGGGATTCCAGATGGGAGCAT